GCACTTCTGGTTCTGACCCATGGAGTACCGGCACTTCTTGCTCAGTACCGGCATGCTGGCGGTACTCCGGTACTCATGCACCGTGCCAGTACTCAACACTCTCCCGCCGTTCTTATTATACATCCATATATATATATACAGCCGCCCGGTACTCAGTAGATGCGTCATGAGGTGCCGAACGGACATTCTCATCGCTCTAACCGCTGGAGTTTCACAGCGGCTGTCAGCTGTTTACTCCTGTCATTCAAACAGAACGTGCTGGAGAGGGGGCGGGGCTTATCTTCTCCATGTAAATACTGTGGTGGAAACGACTATGTCAAAATTAACCTATTTGACCGTGATTTAATAGTAATACACGTTTCAAAATAATAATAATAATAATAATGCCGAAGTAACAACATACTGAAAACTGTTAGTAAAACCATGTTTTAATGCTTTACAATTTACATACCTAGATGCACGTGTGTTGTGTTTATGCAGTGCAACTCCCACCCAGTGGGTGGCTATGTAGAGTGATAGAACAGAGCAGGCACGCCCCCGAGAGAAGGAAAGCAAGTCACGTCACAAATTAGCATTTCTAAAATGTTAGCGTGGATTAATAAAAGTGCAAAAAGACAGCGGTTGTCGCCGGAAGAAACTTCAAATACAGAGAATGCTGTGCCTGTGTTGGAAATTGTGTCTGATGGGGAGCTTTCTTTGGTTGATCCTCCTGCTCCAAGTTCTAGTGTATTAGCATTAGCACTAGCTCCGCCGCCTCCTCCAGAGCCTCTAACGTTAGCTGCTGCTGGCTCAACTGCCACCACCAACACCGGGCAAAGCGATGCACCTGACTGCTGGACAACGGACCAGGTGCAATATTTTTGCAAGACCAATGCATGGCTCCTTCTTAAAGATAAGAAGCTAGGATGTCGGATATGCAGAGATGTCAAATCTTTGGGAATACACACTGGACAAGGACTGAAACTGTCAACTGAATGGGGTGAGTGTGCAGTGTCTCATTTCGGTGTTGACAAGGGCAAACAACAAGCTAGCCTGAGAAAAAAAATCAAAGAACATAAAGAATCACAAGCCCATGTAAAAGCTGCTGACATCCTTACATCTGCTTCATGTGAAACTATTCAACATCAAGTGCAGTCTATGCATAAATCTGAATTAGACACCACTATCAGAGTTTTTCGAAGGGCATATAAAATTGGCAAACATAGCCGGCCATTCACAGACATGCCAATTGATTTGAATGTACAGAAACTGAATGGGCTGAACGTGGGCAGGGTTTTGCACTCCAATAAAACCTGTGGCGAAATCATCGACCACATAGCTCATGAGCTGAAGAAAAAAATGGCAAAAGACATTACAGAAAACCAAAGAAAACTCTGTGTTTTGGTCGATGAATCTACCACTATTAGTGGTAAAACGGTGCTTGTTGTGTGTCTACGCTCAGCATTAGCTGATGCTGAGCCCGAAACGTTTTTTTGGGAGCTGATCGAGTTGGATGGAACAACGGCTGATGACATCACAAAGGCGTTAATGGAGTGTCTTGGAAGAGATTTTAACGAGGACTTTTTAGGTCAGTGTTTCGTTTCTTTTGCATGTGATGGGGCTTCAGTCATGCTAAGGAAGAGAACAGGCGTTGCTACCCAGTTGTGTAGTAAATTCCCAAGCCTGTTTGTGTGGCACTGCTCCAATCATCGTCTAGAGCTGGCAGTTGGGGATGTGGTCAAGGAGGTCTCAGGGCTCAATCATTTCCAGATCTTTTTTGACAAACTCTATTCCTTGTTCCATGCCTCCCCCAAAAATCAGAGGCAGTTAGCGCAGTGTGCGCAAGCAGTCGGACAGCGTCTCCTGGTGATAGGGCGTGTTTTGTCCATCCGCTGGGTGGCTTCAAGTGAAAGGAGCGTCAGAGCAGTCTGGGAAAACTACCGAGTGCTTCATGATCACTTCACAAATGTTGCAAACGACACGAGCAGGGATTCCAGAGACAGAGCAAAGTACAAGGGCCTGGATGATGTGCTCACATCTGCAACGTTTGTCAGCAATCTGGGACTGATGTACGATGCGCTCACAGAGCTCAGCGACCTCTCTCGGCAACTCCAAAAAAGAGAGATGACACTGCCTACAGCAGATAGGCTCTTAACTCGAGAAATACGAGTTTTTGAATCCATAGTCACCATGCCTGGCCCACACATGACTACAGTTCATACAGCTCTAGCTGAGAAGTCCTTCAAGGGTGTTGCCCTGCGTGAGAATGGCAGGCTTGTACAGATTCATGCAGGTCAGTTTTTCCGCAGTATGGTAGAGAATCTGAGACACAGAATTACTTCCACAACCTCCTCTCATGTCAGCACAAGAGAAATCCCATTACATGGCCGGGAGGCCCGGGACAATCAGCTAATCCAGGACATGAAAGTTATCCATCCTGGAAGTTGGCCTGAAGAGGAGTTAGACGTACAGTATGGGGACGTAGAGGTGCTACGTTTGTGCGAAGTGCTGAAAGTGGACAGAAGAGAGACTGTTCAGGGCTTTCGCGAATACAAGGAAACCAGGGCATCCCGTACACCTGCTGCCATGGAGCCTCTACTGAAAGCAGTCCGAACCATCGCTGTCTCCACTAGTGAGTGTGAGCGGGCATTCAGCTGCATGAACGATATCCTTACTGCAAAAGGGGAATGCTCTCTCTGTCAGCCGACTGTCCAGCCTGGTTTTCATTAAATGTAATGGACCATCACTAGGACAGTTCAATCCGGAACAGTATGTGAGGTCCTGGCTGGCAAAGGGAAGGAGAAGTGCTGATGAAAGAGCCTGTCCAGCTCCAGCCCCTGATACTGATGTCCCCAAGGCCTTCTGGAGCCTTTTCTAACAATGTGAAGTATATTGCAAAGCAGCTCACCCAGTGAGAAGACTTTTGGCATAATGTGCCGATTTGTACAGATCCTGGAGATAGAAGGACTTCAGACCAACCAGGGAGTTATCTGATCAGCTTGGTGTTCAATGTAACTCTTTACCATGGCTCAGACTTTGTTACTTGCAGCTGCAGTTTCTCATTTTAGATTGTGCAAATTTTGCATTTGTTTTTACATGTTCTTTGTTCATGCTCTTTATCATTTTTCTGAGTTGGAAAGTTAGATTGCATCATAGTTTACTTTATACATATTTGTATTCTTCAGTGGTGAAGTATATTGCAAAGCAGCTCAGCCATGTGAGAAGACTTTTGGCACTTTTTCGTTTTTCGTTTTCTGAGTTGGAAAGTTAGATTGCATTCAAAATGTACAGAAATACTTAATTTTGTTAAAGCTTTTTATAAAAAATGCTTCTGACCAGAGCTTTGTTTCCTTGTCATTAATGTTGAACACCACCAGAGGGGCTCTCACCTGAAAGGTCTCTGCTTCATGTGTCTTCAGCAGAAGATCTAGACTTTGATTGCTATATTTCCAGTTAATATTGACCTTACTGAGCTTTAGCCATATCCGCTGCCTATCATAAAAAATGTTAAGTACAGTGAACCTTTCTAAAATATACAGTAGTAAAGAGACAAACCCACCAGCATTATAGTAGCCAAATTCTTGTTTGTGGGCTGTATATATAAAATTGACTTGAAAAAGTTGCTGATTTTATAGTACTGGCACCTTTTTCATTCCAATTCAAGCACTGTATAGATCAGATCACCATAGTCCAGCACAGGTAAAAAGGTCACAGAGACTAGCCTTTTCCTGGCCTCACGTGAGATATATGATGATATATCCTGATGAGAGTGCGGAAGTACGAACACATCACACCCATCCTCAAATCACTGCACTGGCTCCCGGTCTCACTCAGGATTGACTACAAAATCACCCTCTTGATGTAGGAGGGAGCATTTCCATATATGCACTGATGAGTGACATCAGTGCATATATGGAAATGCTCCCTCCTACATCAAGGAATTGCTCACCCCACAAATCTCCACGAGGAACCTACGTTCAGTAAAGGCAAACCTCCTCATCCCACCAAGGACAAAACTGAAGACCATGGGAGACCGAGCCTTCTGCTAAGCTGCTCCGAGACTGGAATGCTGTCCCAAACCAGCTGAGGACACCACAGACTGTGGAGTGCCCTCCCAAACCAGCTGAGGACACCACAGACTGTGGAATGCCCTCCCAAACCAGCTGAGGACACCACAGACTGTGGAGTGCCCTCCCAAACCAGCTGAGGACACCACAGACTGTGGAATGCCCTCCCAAACCAGCTGAGGACACCACAGACTGAGGAGTGCCCTCCCAAACCAGCTGAGGACACCACAGACTGTAGAGTGCCCTCCCAAACCAGCTGAGGACACCACAGACTGTGGAGTGCCCTCCCAAACCAGCTGAGGACACCACAGACTGTGGAGTGCCCTCCCAAACCAGCTGAGGACACCACAGACTGTGGAATGCCGTCCCAAACCAGCTGAGGACACCACAGACTGTGGAATGCCGTCCCAAACCAGCTGAGGACACCACAGACTGTGGAATGCCGTCCCAAACCAGCTGAGGACACCACAGACTGTGGAGTGCCCTCCCAAACCAGCTGAGGACACCACAGACTGTGGAGTGCCGTCCCAAACCAGCTGAGGACACCACAGACTGTGGAATGCCCTCCCAAACCAGCTGAGGACACCACAGACTGTGGAGGCTTTCAAAAAAGGCCTAAAAACGCATCTTTTTAGAATAGCCTTTAACTAGATTTTTAAATCCCCCACATGATGCCATGCCGGCATGAATGTCACAGCTTTATTATGTTGTTTTAATTGTTTTTAAATTGTTTTTTTGTTTTGTTTCACCCTTTTTAATTTTAAATGTTGTAGCACTTTGAGTTTTGTTTACGCAAATGAAAAGTGCGCTTATAAATAAAATATATTATTATTTATTATTATAAAAACACAACAATGTTTTACGCCCACTCACTTTAAGGTTCAAGGCTTTTATTGGTCATGCTTACATAGCTACAGTGTAGATATGACAATGGAAATCTGAGGTCACAGGCTCCTCCTCCAACGGTGCAACACAATAAAACAGAACAAATAGTGCAAGTAAATACAAAAAGAAAAATAGTGGAATAGTGCAATAAGAGCATCTCTGCTTCTCTTTAATAGTCTCAAAACCGGTTGCTTTCTCAAAATAAACGCTTTATCTACTTCTTGTGACGAGTCGCTTCCTCATTGTGACTTTCTTCCTCTATTCTTACTCTCAAGAGCTTCATTTCCTTTTCTAACTCCTACAGTACATGACATCATGGACATTCATCAAAGTTACTTTAGGATTTCCATGGTTTGCACGCATCCAGCTGAATAACAGGTCATTAAATACTTTAATAACAATATAGGGAAAGCTAAATAAAACACACATGATCAAATTATTGAATATCAAACAATTACAGATGAAACTAAAGAACAGATTCTGCATTTCTTTGCATATAACATAATTACTAAAATAACAATATGAAAATACATACTATAGCATAAGATGAGCAAATCCATCACTGAGCACAAAACTATTACAGGAAGTCTATCCGTCACATATTGAGGTCATATATATAAAGCAACCGCCCAAGCATGCTAAGTATAACTTCTCCTTTTTCTTACATTGCGCCACTAGTCAAACTGTACACAGAAATGAAGCTTTTCACATGAATCCATCCTGAAAATGATCATAAAACCATTAACAGAGATTGGAGAAGGTGTGATGGTGTGATTGACGTTAGATGGTGTCGTAGAGGCTGCTGGGTTCATTGGTGGAAGCTTTCACAGTCGAATAAGTCACTTCGTCACCTTCATCAGTCTCAATCTTAACCTGGAAGGAAATAACACATTATAAATAACTGCAGGACTCTAGAAGACAGCAGCACGAAGAAACATCATTGATAGGCTACATGACACACACACAGTGCACAATGTAATAAAGCAAAACACAAACAATGTGTTGTGTTTCTTTACAGACAGCGTACCTCAGCATTTTTGTGGGTATTCTTGGTGTAGCTGATGGAGGCGTAACAAACTCCTTCTTCATGATCAGCCTACACAGAAAGGATAAGATAATAAGCACATTTTTGTTGTTGATTTGACTTCCCACTTCTGGTCTTACACTCATTTGCTCTTCCTGTGCAGCAACACCGTCTAACTTCCCTCATTTCTCTTTATTGCACATTCTCACACCCATAAGGCCGAACGACCTGAGAGATATTTAAGACTTGTTTCAGTGAGTGAACTCACCGTGGCCGGGTTGGTCTCTGGAGAATTCACTGGGTTTGAGGTCTGTCCCTGGACAACAAGCAATAAACACTTCAGTTCATTCATATCGTGGAATAATACAAACAACATCAGTTTAACATGTTCAATGCATCTTTGAACGTTTTAGAGGACTGACTCTTTTCCTTTTCAGGTGTATATCAGTATGTAGTGTCTCTACTTTAAAGAGTCCTCTCCTGCTGATGTTCAGGTGTATATCAGTATGTAGTGTCTCTACTTTAAAGAGTCCTCTCCTGCTGATGTTCAGGTGTATATCAGTATGTAGTGTCTCTACTTTAAAGAGTTCTCTCCTGCTGATGTTCAGGTGTATATCAGTATGTAGTGTCTCTACTTTAAAGAGTCCTCTCCTGCTGGTGTTCAGGTGTATATCAGTATGTAGTGTCTCTACTTTAAAGAGTCCTCTCCTGCTGATGTTCAGGTGTATATCAGTATGTAGTGTCTCTACTTTAAAGAGTTCTCTCCTGCTGATGTTCAGGTGTATATCAGTATGTAGTGTCTCTACTTTAAAGAGTCCTCTCCTGCTGATGTTCAGGTGTATATCAGTATGTAGTGTCTCTACTTTAAAGAGTCCTCTCCTGCTGATGTTCAGGTGTATATCAGTATGTAGTGTCTCTACTTTAAAGAGTCCTCTCCTGCTGATGTTCAGGTGTATATCAGTATGTAGTGTCTCTACTTTAAAGAGTCCTCTCCTGCTGATGTTCAGGTGTATATCAGTATGTAGTGTCTCTACTTTAAAGAGTCCTCTCCTGCTGATGTTCAGGTGTATATCAATATGTAATGTCTCTACTTTAAAGAGTCCTCTCCTACTGGTGTTCAGGTGTATATCAGTATGTAGTGTCTCTACTTTAAAGAGTCCTCTCCTGCTGATGTTCAGGTGTATATCAGTATGTAGTGTCTCTACTTTAAAGAGTCCTCTCCTGCTGATGTTCAGGTGTATATCAGTATGTAGTGTCTCTACTTTAAAGAGTCCTCTCCTGCTGATGTTCAGGTGTATATCAGTATGTAATGTCTTTACTTTAAAGAGTCCTCTCCTACTGGTGTTCAGGTGTATATCAGTATGTAGTGTCTCTACTTTAAAGAGTCCTCTCCTGCTGATGTTCAGGTGTATATCAGTATGTAGTGTCTCTACATGTCTGCATGCTTTAATGTTCATAAAGCTCTTTATTGTTCTCATACTGCCTGTGCTGCAGCACCTCTTTTCACCCTCTGTCTGAAACCAGAGTCCAGTCTGCTCTGATTGGTTAACTGGCCGGCTCTATTGTGATTGGTCAACCACTTAGAGATGTCCCGCCCATTAGCCTTTTAGGTAAAATGTATTCCAGTGCAAGCCAATAGTAGCGCATGTGTTACATAGTGAGGTGAGGTGTGTGGGGAAAAAAACTCCCTCTGAACGGAACACAGGGATTTTAGCCTTTGCAGACCATTGATATGCACTAAATCCTATATAACACACTACAGGAAAATATGATTATGATGTCCTGTATTCATTTATGAGGCTGTAATGTAAGGTGCTCATGTTAAACAAGTAAATCCCAAACATTAGTTTACAGCCATTCTTGCTTTTCCTCCTAATCACTTCCTTTACCTTAGCGAATGCAAGCCAATGTTTAATTACAGCACAGCCACTAACGGTTATGAAACACTTGCTTTTTTCAACTTTAAATAGAAAAATATATTTGAGAACTCACAACACTGTCACTTTCCCGTGCTTCCTTCCCTGAAAACACAGACAAGAGGGGGTTGACTTTAATTTCCACATTCTACATTTGATTTTATGAAAGAAATGATTGTTTACAAAAAGTGTCATATATATTCTCTCACCTTTCATTTTCCTCCATGTGATGAAAGCCACAATGGTTATTAGAAGTGCTACGAGAACCAAAGCCACAACCAGGTACAACCACCAAACTGAAACGATAATAAATGGGAGATATTGGAGGTGAGGTGAATAGCGGAGATACTTACATTACATGTAGATTTTAAAACATGTATTTGTTACTTTATACCAAATCAAAGTTACTTTTGGGACAAAAACTGCATCCAAAAAACATTAATTAAAAACAAAATAAACCAAAAACACTTAATTAAAGGACCAAATACTAATTCTCTCCAGATATTTCCACCGCAGCTCAAAGAGGAGATGTGAAGCGCCACAACAACATACGAAATATTTGAGGTACCATCGAGTAGTTTTGTTTGAGATTGCTGTTACTGTCTAGTTTTTACCTTGGTTGTTGATGCGACCTGATGTATTTGTTGTTGTTGTTGCTGCTTGATCATCCCCATCTGAAAAAGATGAACACAACTCTTCAGAAGTAATATGTTTACCATATATTGTGACATGATGTTTAAACTTAATTAAATCAGATAAACACCCTTTTTATGTAATTTGTCACACCACTTTAAAGTGACTTTAAACAGTCTGATAAAAACATTTCTCACCTGAGGACTGAGGCCTGAAGGTCTGCACGTTGCCATCATCAGCTGTTACTGAGCAAGTAAATAACTCAGACCTTTGTCTGGAACCATAATGAGAAGTCGGAAATGTCACAGAAGCATTGCAGTCAGACTCTGATGTCTTTATATCTCTGTGATCTTTATCCACATCTCGACCCTGAAGCAGCCACTTCACTTTGTGTCTACAACTAACACGTGTCGTCACAAAGCAGAGTAACGTCACCTCATCGTTGTTCTGATGCTCAGTCACTGAAGATGGACATATGTGAGAGAAAGATAATAATTAACTTCACCACTGTAATAATAATAATTGTAATGTTTTAGTATTTTGCTCTACAGAGAAAGTTTGGAAACATTATGATGGAAATACTCACTGGTAACAACAGACAGAAGAACCTGAGAGTCTGAACCTTGCTGTTGATTTGCTTTGTTGTACTGTCTGCAGGTGTATTGACCAGCATCCTCCTCTGTGACCTTCTTTACAACCAGAGAACATTTATCCGTAAGTCTCAGTCTGTCTGATTGAGCATGGTTACCAATCTGCCCACGTCCAACCAGCACTACTGTGATTTTTGAATCACTTAAGAGCCAGGTAGTACCACCACATTTATCCTGATCATGTCTGACATTGTTACACGGCAAAGTGGCTTCATCTCCAGCTCTGACAGAGAGGTAGAGGTTACGCTGTCCAATTGCAGCCCCTGAATAAACGAGAGAGAAATATAAAGAATACAGAGAAATAAAAATGTTCATTTGAGACACAACAAAAGTTTCCCTATGTGTCTAAAAGTTGCCTTCCCCTCGTTGGAAGACAAACAGACCTCTTCTCTGTCTTTGTTAAAAGGAGGTTAGGTAATAAAGTAACATTCATGATGACTAAATTACCTTTTTTAATGTTTCTAAATAAATACATGTTGTAGGAATCCTTACCTGTAAACTGAAGCAGCAGAATGAGAAGTGAAGACTTTTGAATCCGTTTGAACTCGTCCATCGTGTCTCTTGTATTCGTGTAAGTCTCTAGACCGGCTGCCTCTCAAAGAGAAATGTTGAATGTACTTCCTATTATCAGAAATGTGTCACTTCCTCAAAGAAGCTCCGTCTTCTTTTCTCTTCTACTTTTTTTGTTAATTCTCCTCTCAGCAGAGACTCAGTCAGGATGAGCGCATGTCACTTCCTGTGGGTTTACTTTAATAACATTCATATAAAAAACACAACCATATAAGCACATTTCAAGCAACTATATCGTTTGTTTTTTTACCAGCGGAGCAATGATAACAAGAATATTTTGTAAATTACAACATTAAAGCGACCCGACCACGGATAAGCCGGAGAAGAAGGATGGATGGATGGACAACATTAAAAGGTAATAGTAATTCACTTCCAGATTATAAATCACATCTCCTTCCTGTCCAGTGGAAACCACGTATCTCCTTATTGGTGATTCTTCTTTGTTTTAAACTCATGAAAACTTGACTGTTTAGAGATACAGTACATGGTTGTCAAAGGACAAAGCTAACATGATGATTGTATATAATATGATGCATTGCTGTAGATTAAATATCCAACAATGTCAAAAAGGCGGGAAAACACAAAGACAGGAAGTGACATCAGAGATGACAAAAGGACAGTGTTTTTACAAAATAAAACAGGAAGTACAAAGAGCAACGTCATGATCAAGACACTGTTAGTAGGAACCACAGAACACAGTGTAGAATTAAGATTAACATGTATTTATTTGCAGATTGTATTGTTGCATCAGGAATAACAAAGATAAATTGTACTTTCTACATTAAGGCTGAAAACCCGTTCAATCACATGGACATCAAAACACATGTTAACAGCTAAGCTAAATGAAAGTGGATTAAAATAATGTTTTTATACACATATATATTCAAATGAGCTCAAGCTGCTTTAGCTCTAATAGCAATCAGTACATCTTCAAAAAGCTCTGAGACTTTCAGCTGGAAGATAATAGAAACTTCTCTCTGCTTCCTCTATCTCTTGTTCTGATGAAAAGTTGATGAAATAGTGAGTTAGCTGAGAAGTGATGCGTCTACTTCCTCTCATAAGTGTGATGTCAACTTCTCAAAGTGACTTTAGACTATTTTCAAAAATAGTCAAACACAATTGTTGTTTCTTTTTTTATTTGTAGATTCTGATGTCAACAGATATAACAAAGAGAAAACTTACTTTCTACATTAAGGCTGAAAATCCATTCAATCACATGAACATCAAAACACAAAGCAAAGCTCAATGAAAGTGGATTAAAGTAATAATTCTGAACACAGAGATGTTAAAATGAGCTCAAGCTGTCGTTCAAAAACAATCAGTACATCTTGAAATCAGCTCTGAAGCTTCAGCATGAAGACAATATAAGGAAGGAAACAAGAGTTAAAAGCTCTTTACAGTGACATCCAGTGGTTTATTAGATCAAGACTAAAATGAAATAATATGTCATTCAGAATGAGTGTATAATCTTCCACTCCTGATGATAGATGTAGACGTTGTTGATCAGTGGAGTCTGATGGAGGCAGAAGTGTTGCTCAAACTCCATCAGCAGGTCTGATGTTTTCATAGTTCACTGTACCATCATCTACATCATAACGCACCTGAGGAAAACAACAACAACAACAACAGCAACAACAACAACAACAACAACAACAACAACAACACTGAGTTGGTTACAAAGGATTTCAAAGTAAAACACAGTTCACAGTTGAGTCAGCAGACCCTGAACGCACCATCAGTTCCCGTCTGATCTGATTTAATCTTCTGACTTCTGGACAGTTTGCTTTGAAACTAGATTTGATCCTGCACATTATTCACAGTAACAAACACATTGTTTTCTAAAACAACAGAACTATTAGCATTGCTAAAAGCCACTAGTGTGAAGGTGGGGAAATCCTCTGTGATGTAATTCAGGGGAATCAGTCCTTTAGTCTGAACTCATCATGTTCAGTTGTTACTGACAGGTTCAAAGAGGTGTTGATTCAGATCTAGGTCTCTCTGCACTTTGTGTCTGTGTTTATCAGTTCATAACGAAGAGAGAGTCAAAACAGTTCAGTATTTGATGTAAAAACTCACATTGATTTCATCCATCTGTGTTTGCTTCTCTGAGAAGAAAGAAGAGAAAGTCGACTTTACTTTCCACAATTCAAAAAAGCGTTTAAGTTAAATCTGTGAATGTTCTCACCTTTAGCTCTCGTCCATATGTTGACCGCCACGACAATCATTATGAGAGCGGCTAAACCCAGAGACACGAGGACGAGCCTCATGAGACCTGAGAGAGAATATAATTGTTTTAAAGATATATATATATTTTGTACATTTACTTTTTTTTAATAGAAACGGAGATGTTTTGAAATGTATATACATTTAATCACGTTGAATACCAATCAGTGCAAATACGTGATTTTATTTCTTAACAAAATGTATATCATTAAGAAGGAAAAAAAACATCTTAAAACAAACCAGAATAGTCTTTGATTTAAGATAAAGATTTAAGCAATCTTCATATATATAAACCAATAATAATTGACTACATCTCTTTAAATGTTTTGCTTTTAACTTTACTGAAAGGTTTTGTTTTAGAAAGTGAGTTGATTAAACGTTTTCTTTATGTGTTCCATGTGTATGGGGGACAGAAGACAAAGAGATTCTAGAGACAGATAACGCACAGATGCTGAGACTCTTGTAGTTTAGCTGAACCTTCAGAGATGAGGTTAAAAGCGGAGATACTTACATTACATGTAGGTGCTAAAAAAAGAACGTGTTACTTTTGGTACAAAAACTGCATCCAAAAAAACACGTCATCTGCAACGAGTTTGACAGAATAAACCAGAAAGACTTATTTAAAGGACCAAATAATAATTCTCTCCAGAGATTTCAACCGCAGCTCAAAGAGGAGATGTGAAGCATCGAAACAATACGAAATATTTGAGGTACCATAAACTGTATGTGTTTAAGGTTGCTGATACTGTCTAGTTTTTACCTGAGTTCTTGATGGTGGGACTTGATGTAACTGCTGCTGTTGTTGTTGATGTTGTTGCTGCTTGTTTGTCCCCATCTGAACAAGATGAACACAACTCTTCAGAAGTAATATGTTTACCTTATATTGTGACGTAATGTTTAAACTTAATTAAATCAGATAAACACCCTTTTTATGTAATTTGTCACACCACTTTAAAGTGACTTTAAACAGTCTGATAAAAACATTTCTCACCTGAGGACTGAGGCCTGAAGGTCTGCACGTTGCCACCATCAGCTGTTACTGAGCAAGTAAATAACTCAAACCTTTGTGTGGAACCATAATGAGAAGTCAGAAATGTCACAGAGGCATAGCAGTCAGACTCTGATGTCTTTATATCCTTGTTGTCTTTATCCACATCTCGACCCTGAAGCAGCCACTTCACTTTGTGTCTACAACCAACACGTGTCGTCACAGAGCAGAGTAACGTCACCTCATCGTTGTTCTGATGCTCAGTCACTGAAGATGGAGATATGTGAGAGAAAGATAATAATTAACTTCACCACTGTAATAATAATAATTGTAATGTTTTAGTATTTTGCTCTACAGAGAAAGTTTGGAAACATTATGATGGAAATACTCACTGGTAACAACAGACACGTAAACCTGAGAGTCTGAACCTTGTTGTTCTCCTGATCTGAACTGTCTGCAGAAGTAAGGACCAGCATCCTCATCTGTGACCTTCTTTATAACCAGAGAACATTTCTCTGTAACTCTCAGTCTGTCTGATTTAGCATGGTTACCAATCTGCCCATGTCCAACCAGCACTACTGTGCTTCTTGAATCACTTAAGAGCCAGGTAGTACCACCACATTTATCCTGATCATGTCTGACATTGTTACACGGCAAAGTGGCTTCATCTCCAGCTCTGACAGAGAGGGAGAGGTATCGCTGTCCAATTGCAGCCCCTGAATAAACGAGAGAGAAATATAAAGAATACAGAGAAATAAAAATGTTCATTTACAACAAAAGTTCCGATGTGTCTAAAAGTTGCCTTCCCCTCGTTGGAAGACAAACACACACTTCTCTGTCTTTGTTAAAAGGAGGTTAGGTAATAAAGTAACATTCATGATGAATAAATTACCTTTTTTAATGTTTCTAAATAAATACATGTTGTAGGAATCCTTACCTGTAAACTGAAGCAGCAGAATGAGAAGTGAAGACTTTTGAATCCGTTTGAACTCGTCCATCGTGTCTCTTGTATTCGTGTAAGTTTCTAGACCGGCTGCCTCTCAAAGAGAAATGTTGAATGTACTTCCTATTATCAGAAATGTGTCACTTCCTCAAAGAAGCTCCGTCTTCTTTTCTCTTCTACTTTTTTTGTTAATTCTCCTCTCAGCAGAGACTCAGTCAGGATGAGCGCATGTCACTTCCTGTGGGTTTACTTTAATAACATTCATATAAAAAACACAACCATATAAGCAGGGGTGCACATAACTTTTTTGCCCTGCTTCTCAAAGAAGCACCTGGAGATGTTGCTTGGTGCTCATCCTTAAAATGAAATAAACCCTAACTTTTGAGGGGTCTTGACTTTATTTGCCAGACACACGGCACTGAACACACATGCAGAGGTGAACACAAGACAACATTAGCACGACCAGTAATCCTACAAGCATCACTACCCTCCTGACTGTTCTCCTGACTGTCAGACATGGTAGCTGATGATGTAGGCCTACTTCTTTCTCTCTGGTTGAGTCTGGATTAGCTGCTTGCATCCACAAGTCAACAGCTGGTTTTGGGTCGAAAGTCTCTGTTGTCATCTTAGACAAGTGGATGTAATCAAATAAGTATGTGAACATAACCAATAACCTACCATAGCCAATAACAAATTAATGTAACTTATTTTATTTGTGTTGTTCATTCATATCTTATTTTACCTTAACATTTGTTTATTTATGCATTTTTTTTGTATCTCTCCAGTTTTAAAGGATATTTTTGGTTACTGTCCTATAGTATACATTGGAATGATTTAAAACCTGTTTATCCCAATAATTACAAAGGAGTGCCTTGGAAAAATGTGTTTACATAAATGGTGACCAAACCGTTTGAATTTAGACTAAGAGTCCTTTACCTCACTGAGCTGTAGTTAACTTATCAGCCTCTCAGTCTGACTGGAGAGGACTCTCCCTCCACATTATTGTAGAAACATCTTCTTCTTATCTCCGTTAGAGCAGCTAGCACGGCACCAGATTCTAATAACAACAGCGCTGGTACCGGTGCACCCTCCCTCTCTCACTCGCATTTTGGCTGTGAGCTGCGGGCGCCAGATAAGCCAACATCCCCCATTTTCATCACTTACAGTGCCCATCGTACAGGGCAAATGAAAGGTGGAACCGGGGTGAAAAGGGTGTTAAATTTACTTAATTGTGAATATTGTTACATCAAGGCCGAAAATTAGGATGAGCCCCAACGGTCAAAATGTTTTTTTCCCTCCCAGAACTGCCAGCGCAGCGCCTCCCCAGATCTGGCGCCCTTGGCGAACATCTAGCCAGCGCTACGGGCCGGCCCTGAGTTCATATCATGGTTCATATGCAACTCGCAAATATCTTTCTCTCTCTCTCTCTTCTCTCTCTCTCATCTCTCCTCTCTCCTCTATTTTCTCTTTTCTCTCTCCCTCTCAATGTTGGTACGCAAATGCGCTTTGTTTCAAATGACCCGGTGCTCTTTTTTTGGCGGAAATGCGCATGCGCACCTGCGCACCAGTTATTTGCAGCCCTGCATATAAGCATATTAGATACCAGCGGACGAATGATACCAAATACATTTTGTGAAGTAATCAGGTTAAAAGTTAATAGTAATTCACTTCCGGATTATAAATCACGTCTCCTTCCTGTCCAGTGGAAACCACGTATCTCCTTATTGGTGATTCTTATTTTTTTTTAAACTCATGAAAACTTGACTGTTTAGAGATACAGTACATGGTTGTCAAAGGACAAAGCTAACATGATGATTGTATATAATATGATGCATTGCTGTAGATTAAATCTCAAACTATCACAAAAAGGCGGGAAAACACAAAGACAGGAAGTGACATCAGAGATGACAAAAGGACAGTGTTTTTACAAAATAAAACAGGAAGTACAAAGAGCAACGTCATGATAAAGACACTGTTAGTAGGAACCACAGAACACAGTGTAGAATTCAGATTAACATGTATTTATTTGCAGATTGTATTGTTGCATCAGGAATAACAAAGATAAATTGTACTTTCTACATTAAGGCTGAAAACCCGTTCAATCACATGGACATCAAAACACATGTTAACAGCTAAGCTAAATGAAAGTGGATTAAAATAATGTTTTTATACACATATATATTCAAATCAGCTCAAGCTGCTTTAGCTCTAATAGCAATCAGTACATCTTCAAAAAGCTCTGAGACTTTCAGCTGGAAGATAATAGAAGCTTCTCTCTGCTTCCTCTATCTCTTGTTCTGATGAAAAGTTGATGAAATAGTGAGTTAGCTGAGAAGTGATGCGTCTACTTCCTCTCATAAGTGTGATGTCAACTTCTCAAAGTGACTTTAGACTATTTTCAAAAATAGTCAAACACAATTGTTGGTTCTTTTTTTATTTGCAGATTCTAATGTCAACAGATATAACAGAGAAAACTTACTTTCTACATTAAGGCTGAAAATCCATTAAATCACATGAACATCAAAACACAAAGCAAAGCTCAATGAAAGTGGATTAAAGTAATAATTCTGAACACAGAGATGTTAAAATGAGCTCAAGCTGTCGTTCAAAAACAATCAGTACATCTTGAAATCAGCTCTGAAGCTTCAGCATGAAGACAATATAAGGAAGGAAACAAGAGTTAAAAGCTGTTTACAGTGACATCCAGTGGTTTATTAGATCAAGACTAAAATGAAATAATATGTCATTCAGAATGAGTGTATAATCTTCCACTCCTGATGATAGATGTAGACGTTGTTGATCAGTGGAGTCTGATGGAGGCAGAAGTGTTGCTCAAACTCCATCAGGAGGTCTGATGTTTTCATAGTTCACTGTACCATCATCTACATCATAACGCACCTGAGGAAAACAACAACAACAACAACAGCAACAACAACAACAACAACAACAACAACAACAACAACACTGAGTTGGTTACAAAGGATTTCAAAGTAAAACACAGTTCACAGTTGAGTCAGCAGACCCTGAACGCACCATCAGTTCCCGTCTGATCTGATTTAATCTTCTGACTTCTGGACAGTTTGCTTTGAAACTAGATTTGATCCTGCACATTATTCACAGTAACAAACACATTGTTTTCTAAAACAACAGAACTATTAGCATTGCTAAAAGCCACTAGTGTGAAGGTGGGGAAATCCTCTGTGATGTAATTCAGGGGAATCAGTCCTTTAGTCTGAACTCATCATGTTCAGTTGTGACTGACAGGTTCAAAGAGGTGTTGATTCAGATCTAGGTCTCTCTGCACTTTGTGTCTGTGTTTATCAGTTCATAACGAAGAGAGAGTCAAAACAGTTCAGTATTTGATGTAAAAACTCACATTGATTTCATCCATCTGTGTTTGCTTCTCTGAGAAGAAAGAAGAGAAAGTCGACTTTACTTTCCACAATTCAAAAAAGCGTTTAAGTTTAATCTGTGAATGTTCTCACCTTTAGCTCTCGTCCATATGTTGACCGCCACGACAATCATTATGAGAGCGGCTAAACCCAGAGACACGAGGACGAGCCTCATGAGACCTGGAGAGAGAATATTATGTTTTACAGATATATATATTTTGTACATTTACTTTTTTTTAATAGAAACGGAGATGTTTTGAAATGTATATACATGTAATCACGTTGAATACCAATCAGTGCAAATACGTGATTTTATTTCTTAACAAAATGTATATCATTAAGAAGAAAAAAACCATCTTAAAACAAACCAGAATAGTCTTTGATTTAAGATAAAGATTTAAGCAATCTTCATATATATAAACCAATAATAATTTACTACATCTCTTTAAATGTTTTGCTTTGAACTTTACTGAAAGGTTTTGTTTTAGAAAGTGAGTTGATTAAACGTTTTCTTTATGTGTTCCATGTGTATGTGGGACAGAAGACAAAGAGATTCTAGAGACAGATAACGCACAGATGCTGAGACTCTTGTAGTTCAGCTGAACCTTCAGAGATGAGGTTAAAAGCGGAGATACTTACATTACATGTAGGTGCTAAAACAAGAACGTGTTACTTTTGGTACAAAAACTGCATCCAAAAAAACACGTCATCTGCAACGAGTTTGACAGAATAAACCAGAAAGACTTATTTAAAGGACCAAATAATAATTCTCTCCAGAGATTTCAACCGCAGCTCAAAGAGGAGATGTGAAGCATCGAAACAATACGAAATATTTGAGGTACCATAAACTGTATGTGTTTAAGGTTGCTGATACTGTCTAGTTTTTACCTGAGTTCTTGATGGTGGGACTTGATGTAACTGCTGCTGTTGTTGTTGATGTTGTTGCTGCTTGTTTGTCCCCATCTGAACAAGATGAACACAACTCTTCAGAAGTAATATGTTTACCTTATATTGTGACGTAATGTTTAAACTTAATTAAATCAGATAAACACCCTTTTTATGTAATTTGTCACACCACTTTAAAGTGACTTTAAACAGTCTGATAAAAACATTTCTCACCTGAGGACTGAAAGCTGAAGGTCTGCACGTTGTAACCATCAGCTGTTACTGAGCAAGTAAATAACTCAGACCTTTGTCTGTAACCATAATGAGAAGTCGGAAATGTCACAGAAGCATTGCAGTCAGACGCTGATGTCTTTATATCCTTGTTGTCTTCATCCACATCTCGACCCTGAAGCAGCCACTTCACTTTGTGTCTACAACCTACACGTGTCGTCACAGAGCAGAGTAACGTCACCTCATCGTTGTTCTGATGCTCAGTCACTGAAGATGGAGATATGTGAGAGAAAGATAATAATTAACTTCACCACTGTAATAATAATAATTGTAATGTTTTAGTATTTTGCTCTACAGAGAAAGTTTGGAAACATTATGATGGAAATACTCACTGGTAACAACAGACAGAAGAACCTGAGAGCCTGGACCTTGCTGTTGATCAGCTTTGTACTGTCTGCAGGTGTATTGACCAGCATCCTCCTCTGTGACCTTCTTTACAACCAGAGAACAATTATCCGTAACTCTCAGTCTGTCTGATTGAGCATGGTTACCAATCTGCCCACCTTTAACCAGCTCTACTGTGATTTTTGAATCACTTAAGAACCAGGTAGTACCATCACATTCACCCAGATCATGAATCACATTACACGGCAAAGTGGCTTCATCTCCAGCTCTGACAGAGAGGTAGAGGTTACGCTGTCCAATTGCAGCCCCTGAATAAACGAGAGAGAAATATAAAGAATACAGAGAAATAAAAATGTTCATTTGAGACACAACAAAAGTTTCCCTATGTGTCTAAAAGTTGCCTTCCCCTCTTTGGAAGACAAACAGACCTCTTCTCTGTCTTTGTTAAAAGGAGGTTAGGTAATAAAGTAACATTCATGATGACTAAATTATCTTTTTTAATGTTTCTAAATAAATACATGTTGTAGGAATCCTTACCTGTAAACTGAAGCAGCAGAATGAGAAGTGAAGACTTTTGAATCCGTTTGAACTCGTCCATCGTGTCTCTTGTATTCGTGTAAGTCTCTAGACCGGCTGCCTCTCAAAGAGAAATGTTGAATGTACTTCCTATTATCAGAAATGTGTCACTTCCTCAAAGAAGCTCCGTCTTCTTTTCTCTTCTACTTTTTTTGTTAATTCTCCTCTCAGCAGAGACTCAGTCAGGATGAGCGCATGTCACTTCCTGTGGGTTTACTTTAATAACATTCATATAAAAAACACAACCATATAAGCACATTTCAAGCAACTATATCGTTTGTTTTTTTACCAGCGGAGCAATGATAACAAGAATATTTTGTAAATTACAACATTAAAGCGACCCGACCACGGATAAGCCGGAGAAGAAGGATGGATGGATGGACAACATTAAAAGGTAATAGTAATTCACTTCCAGATTATAAATCACATCTCCTTCCTGTCCAGTGGAAACCACGTATCTCCTTATTGGTGATTCTTCTTTGTTTTAAACTCATGAAAACTTGACTGTTTAGAGATACAGTACATGGTTGTCAAAGGACAAAGCTAACATGATGATTGTATATAATATGATGCATTGCTGTAGATTAAATATCCAACATTCACAAAAAGGCGAGAAAACACAAAGACAGGAAGTGACATCAGAGATGACAAAAGGACAGTGTTTTTACAAAATAAAACAGGAAGTACAAAGAGCAACGTCATGATCAAGACACTGTTAGTAGGAACCACAGAACACAGTGTAGAATTAAGATTAACATGTATTTATGTGCAGATTGTATTGTTGCATCAGGAATAACAAAGATAAATTGTACTTTCTACATTAAGGCTGAAAACCCGTTCAATCACATGGACATCAAAACACATGTTAACAGCTAAGCTAAATGAAAGTGGATTAAAATAATGTTTTTATACACATATATATTCAAATGAGCTCAAGCTGCTTTAGCTCTAATAGCAATCAGTACATCTTCAAAAAGCTCTGAGACTTTCAGCTGGAAGATAATAGAAGCTTCTCTCTGCTTCCTCTATCTCTTGTTCTGATGAAAAGTTGATGAAATAGTGAGTTAGCTGAGAAGTGATGCGTCTACTTCCTCTCATAAGTGTGATGTCAACTTCTCAAAGTGACTTTAGACTATTTTCAAAAATAGTCAAACACAATTGTTGGTTCTTTTTTTATTTTCAGATTCTAATGTCAACAGATATAACAAAGAGAAAACTTACTTTCTACATTAAGGCTGAAAATTAGGGATGCACGATATTGGTTTTTTGAAACCGATACCGATAATACAAAAACAATTACGCAACTAATTATTTTAACGCGATTAACGCATGTGTATTTTTTGTCCTCGGCCGCCCCGTAGTTTCAGAGCGCATCGAGTTTAAAATACCATCTACAAGCTGATGTTGACAGCCCCGCTCCTGCCGCCCGCTTGTGGCAGACCACACTTCCACGCTCACCGGCAGGCACCGACTGGCCATCTGGAGGACCGGGAGGGTGTGTGTGTGTGACCCGAGCGAGCGAGAGAGAGACCTTACGTGCATTGTTGTTGTTAGCATCTGGTGCTAGCTAGCTGAGCTAACGGATATAAGGAGCTGCTTAAATGAAAACAGAGGAGCGACATTTCGCCACAACTGCGCAGAGCACTTGACTTTATGCAGGAAGCCAGACAGTGGGACATTGTACGAGAAGTCAGCATACTCAGCACGGATAGTGCGCAACATGATTGCAGCGTCCAGGCAGCTCCCGTTCGAGCATATGCCTTGAGTTGCACATAGCTCCAACGCCCATACCACCGACGACATGTTTGTTTACTGTCCTGGCTTCACGGCCGCACACCATTTACGTCACAGCCAGGCATGAGTTAGGGAGCGCTGGATGTGTGAAGAACTCCCCTCTTCTTAAACCACTAATACCACAGTACTGGCAAAACGGGAGGAGCCGAGTGAAAAACAAGCGCCCCTCATCCCAATCCACCCACACCGCAGTATTCTTTCTTTTTTTTACCCAAAAAATATATTGTATATTATCGGGGCTATTAATACTGGTATCGGGTTTATCGGGATGACGTCATAATTCCTAATATCGGGCCGATAATTATCGTGCATCCCTACTGAAAATCCATTAAATCACATGAACATCAAAACACAAAGCAAAGCTCAATGAAAGTGAATTAAAGTAATAATTCTGAACACAGAGATATTAAAATGAGCTCAAGCTGTCGTTCAAAAATAATCAGTACATCTTGAAATCAGCTCTGAAGCTTCAGCATGAAGACAATATAAGGAAGGAAACAAGAGTTAAAAGCTGTTTACAGTGACATCCAGTGGTTTATTAGATCAAGACTAAAATGAAATAATATGTCATTCAGAATGAGTGTATAATCTTCCACTCCTGATGATAGATGTAGACGTTGTTGATCAGTGGAGTCTGATGGAGGCAGAAGTGTTGCTCAAACTCCATCAGGAGGTCTGATGTTTTCATAGTTCACTGTACCATCATCTACATCATAACGCACCTGAGGAAAACAACAACAACAACAACAACAACACTGAGTTGGTTACAAATAATTTCAAAGTAAAACACAGTTCACAGTTGAGTCAGCAGACCCTGAACGCACCATCAGTTCCCGTCTGATCTGATTTAATCTTCTGACTTCTGGACAGTTTGCTTTGAAACTAGATTTTATCCTGCACATTATTCACAGTAACAAACACATTGTTTTCTAAAACAACAGAACTATTAGCATTGCTAAAAGCCACTAGTGTGAAGGTGGGGAAATCCTCTGTGATGTAATTCAGGGGAATCAGTCCTTTAGTCTGAACTCATCATGTTCAGTTGTGACTGACAGGTTCAAAGAGGTGTTGATTCAGATCTAGGTCTCTCTGCACTTTGTGTCTGTGTTTATCAGTTCATAACGAAGAGAGAGTCAAAACAGTTCAGTATTTGATGTAAAAACTCACATTGATTTCATCCATCTGTGTTTTATTCTCTGAGAAGAAAGAAGAGAAAGTCGACTTTACTTTCCACAATTCAAAAAAGCGTTTAAGTTTAATCTGTGAATGTTCTCACCTTTAGCTCTCGTCCAGATGTTGACCGCCACGACAATCATTATGAGAGCGGCTAAACCCACAGACACGAGGACGAGCCTCATGAGACCTGGAGAGAGAATATTATGTTTTACAGATATATATATTTTGTACATTTACTTTTTTTTAATAGAAACGGAGATGTTTTGAAATGTATATACATGTAATCACGTTGAATACCAATCAGTGCAAATACGTGATTTTATTTCTTAACAAAATGTATATCATTAAGAAGAAAAAAAAACATCTTAAAACAAACCAGAATAGTCTTTGATTTAAGATAAAGATTTAAGCAATCTTCATATATATAAACCAATAATAATTGACTACATCTCTTTAAATGTTTTGCTTTGAACTTTACTGAAAGGTTTTGTTTTAGAAAGTGAGTTGATTAAACGTTTTCTTTATGTGTTCCATGTGTATGGGGGACAGAAGACAAAGAGATTCTAGAGACAGATAACGCACAGATGCTGAGACTCTTGTAGTTCAGCTGAACCTTCAGAGATGAGGTTAAAAGCGGAGATACTTACATTACATGTAGGTGCTAAAACAAGAACGTGTTACTTTTGGTACAAAACTGCATCCAAAAAAACACGTCATCTGCAACGAGTTTGACAGAATAAACCAGAAAGACTTATTTAAAGGACCAAATAATAATTCTCTCCAGAGATTTCAACCGCAGCTCAAAGAGGAGATGTGAAGCATCGAAACAATACGAAATATTTGAGGTACCATAAACTGTATGTGTTTAAGGTTGCTGATACTGTCTAGTTTTTACCTGAGTTCTTGATGGTGGGACTTGATGTAACTGCTGCTGTTGTTGTTGATGTTGTTGCTGCTTGTTTGTCCTCATCTGAAAAAGATGAACACAACTCTTCAGAAGTAATATGTTTACCTTATATTGTGACGTAATGTTTAAACTTAATTAAATCAGATAAACACCCTTTTTATGTAATTTGTCACACCACTTTAAAGTGACTTTAAACAGTCTGATAACAACATTTCTCACCTGAGGACTGAGGCCTGAAGGTCTGCACGTTGCCATCATCAGCTGTTACTGAGCAAGTAAATAACTCAGACCTTTGTCTGTAACCATAATGAGAAGTCGGAAATGTCACAGAAGCATTGCAGTCAGACTCTGATGTCTTTATATCTCTATGATCTTTATCCACATCTCGACCCTGAAGCAGCCACTTCACTTTGTGTCTACAACCTACACGTGTCGTCACAGAGCAGAGTAACGTTACCTCATCGTTGTTCTGATGCTCAGTCACTGAAGATGGAGATATGTGAGAGAAAGATAATAATTAACTTCACCACTGTAATAATAATAATTGTAATGTTTTAGTATTTTGCTCTACAGAGAAAGTTTGGAAACATTATGATGGAAATACTCACTGGTAACAACAGACAGAAGAACCAGAGAGTCTCGACCTTGCTGTTGATCAGCTTTGTACTGTCTGCAGGTGTATTGACCAACATCCTCCTCTGTGACCTTCTTTACAACCAGAGAACATTTATCCGTAACTCTCAGTCTGTCTGATTGAGCATGGTTACCAATCTGCCCACGTCCAACCAGCTCTACTGTGCTTCCTGAATCACTGAAGAGCCAGGTAGTACTCTCACATTGATCCTGATCATTAAACACATTGTTACACGGCAAAGTGGCTTCATCTCCAACTCTGACAGAGAGGTAGAGGTCACGCTGTCCAATTGCAGCCCCTGAATAAACGAGAGAGAGAAATATAAAGAATACAGAGAAATAAAAATGTTCATTTAAGACACAACAAAAGTTTCCCTATGTGTCTAAAAGTTGCCTTCCCCTCGTTGGAAGACAAACACACACTTCTCTGTCTTTGTTAAAAGGAGGTTAGGTAATAAAGTAACATTCATGATGACTAAATTACCTTTTTTAACGTTTCTAAATAAATACATGTTGTAGGAATCCTTACCTGTAAACTGAAGCAGCAGAATGAGAAGTGAAGACTTTTGAATCCGTTTGAACTCGTCCATCGTGTCTCTTGTATTCGTGTAAGTCTCTAGACC